ATGGTTTTGTTTGTTTGTTTGTTTGTTTTGTTTTTGTGATTTCGGTGAAGATTTACAGAGCAAATTCACTTTCCATACAGCAGTTCACATACACTTTGTCACATGACATTGACCACAGTTTACCACAATGCAACAGCTCCCCTCCCACTTCCTCCCCACAGTTACCTCTTCCCAGTGTCTCTCCCTCCATGGATTCCTGCCCCCTAAGCTGTCTCCCTGAACATAAGCAGCCATTCTTTCTCCCATGATGGTTCTCTCCAAGGAGTGTATCTACTTGAGGTAACTGTTGAACTCATATGCCTGTATTTTGTTTGTCTGGAAACCAAAGGTAAGGGTTCAATGCCAGATCTGAAGGACAGCTAGGGGCCATAGTCTCAGTGGTTCCACGAGGCTCTATTGGACCAGCAAACCATGTCCCCCCCACCTTTTTTTTTTTCCAAATGATTTTGAGTTTTGTTCCACATTGTTCTCCCTCTCTATCAAGGATCTCCTACATATATCCCCTTCCAAGTGGATGACAGTGGTAGATGGGCACAATCTAGTTCTGGTCTCATAGTCATATAGGCTGCAGATTGGATGGTGTACCAGTCGCTAGGACTAATTTTTTCCATGAATTTTGGTTTTCTTCATTCTTCTTTGCTCTGGACGAGGAGAGACCCATCGTTGCATCTAGATGGCAGCTTGCTAGCTTTTAAGATCCCAGTCGCTACTCGCCAAAGTAGGAGGTGGAACAATGTTTTGTATAGTATGTTATGCAACTTGAGCTTGATGTCCCCTATGACTATGGTGCCAAGCCTGCAGGTTCAACTACTCGGTCCCTCTGAGTATCTGGCTGTGACCAAGCAGTGACCACAACCTTGCCCTTGTCAGCTCTACTACACACCTAGGAATTTTGATCATTCACATAAACTTATAGGACCATTGTCTGACAACCCTATATATGTACTTTGATACACTCTGCATTTCATAGACATACCTAATCCTTCAGCCTGTCCACCCATCTATCCACCCATATACCTATGTTTGCCTTCATTGACAATGCAGTACTATATGTGCAAAAGGGTTCATCTTTGTTGTATGTACATCCCATGTACCTCTCTATGTCTGTCTCATCCTCAATGCTGCCATATTGGTCACTCACATTTGTTACATTGCCCTTCTATTCACCCAAATCAATACTTATCTCTATCTATCTAACAGTGTTCCCTCCCTTCCCCTCCCACTCCTGGTAACCAACAAAGAAAATTTCCTTCTATAGATAAAAGTTTCCTTAACTTTTACAATAATGGACTAATACAATATTTGTCCTTCTGTGATTGACTTAATTCACTCAGCATAATATCCTCCAAGTTCATCCATGTTATGTGGTGTTTTGCAGATTCTACATTATTCTTTAATATTGCATAGTATTTCATTGTGTGTATGTACCATAGTTTGGTTATCCATTCCTCAGTTGATGGACATCTAGGTTGTTTCCATCTTTTGCCTATTGTAAATAGTGCTGCGATGAACATGGGTGTGCATATATCTGTTCTTGTCATGGCTCTCACTTCTTTAGGGTATATACCTAGTAATGGAATGGCTGGGTCAAATGGTATTTCTAATTCCAACTTTTGAAGGAATCACCATACTGCTTTCCACAATGGTTGTACCATTTTACAGTCCCACTAGCAGTGTATGAGAGTCCCAATCTCTCCACAGCCTCGCCAGCATTTGTAATTTTCTCTCTTGTTGAACTTTGCTACTAGTGTTGGAGCAAGATGGTATCTCATTGTTGTTTTGATTTGCATCTCTCTAATAGCTAATGATCGTGAGCATTTCTTCATATGTTTGTGGGCAGCCTGAATATCCTACTTGGTCTAGTGTCTATTCATGTCTTCTGCCCATTTTTTAATTGGATTGTTTGTGGTTTTGTTATTGAGGTGTTGGAGTTTTCTATAAATTCTAGAGATAAGTCCCTTGTCAGATATGTCATTATCAAATATTTTTTCCTAATTTGTATGTTCTCTTTTGACTCTTTTGGAGAAGCCTTTGGAAGCACATAAAAATTTAATTTTTAGAAGGTCCCAATCATCTTGTTTCTCTTCTGCTGTTTGTGCATTTTGAGTTATGCTTCATACTCTGTTTATGCCATAGTCTATATTACAGCTCCTAAATTTGCCCCTAGATTTTCCTTGAGGAACTGTATTGTTTTAGGTTTCACATTTAAGTCTTTCATCCATCTGGAGTTTGTTTTTGTGTATAGTGTGAGCTACCAATATTATTTCCTTTTTCTGCAAATGGACTTCCAGTTTTGCCCACACCATTTATTAAATAAATATTCTCTTCCCCATTTAATGGATTTTGGGCCTTAGTCAAAGATCAACTGACTATAGGTCCATGGATCTATTTCTGAGTTCTCAATTGTGTTCCATTGGTCTATGTATCTGTCATTAAACCAATACCAGGCAGTTTTGACTACTGTGGCTGTATACTAGGTTTTGAGATCTGGCCATGTGAGACCTCTTACTTTGTTCTTCTTCTTCAATAGTGCTTTGCTTATCCGAGGTCTCTTTCTTTTCCATATAAAGTTAGTGTTTGGTTTCTCCATATCCCTAAAGAATGTTGATTGGATCAGGATTGGGATTGCATGGAATGTATAGATTGCTTTGGGTAGAATTCACATTTTCACAATGTTCAATCTTCCTATCCATGAGCATGGGACTTTCTTCCATTTATGTAGATCTCTTATGGTTTCTTGAAGTAGTTTTTGATAGTTTTTTGTAGAGGTTTTTTGTGTCCCTGGTAAGATTTATTCCCAAGTTGTTTTTTTTTTTTTTTTTTTTTGGTAGCTATTGTAAATCGTATTTATTTCCTTATTTCCTTTTCAGCCATCTCTTTGCTGATGTAAAGGAAACCAACTGAGTTTTGTATGTTGATCTTGTATCCTGCCACGGTGCTAAATCTTGCAATTAGTCTCCAGTAGAGACTTTTGCTGAGTCTCTTGGGTTTTCTAGGTGTAGGATCATATCATCAGCAGATAGGGATAGTTTGACTTTTTCCTTACCATCTGGATACCTTTGATTTCCCTTTCTTGCCTTATTGCCCTGGCTAAGTTCTCTCAGAACACTTGGATGTAAGAAATTAGGAGACTAGAATTTATTTTAGTAATAATAATAATAGCACTAACAACCATAATTAGTAAACTCTCAATGAATGTTAGTGAGGTGCCAGCACTTTATATGAATTGACTCAAGTAATCCTTACAGCTCAACACAGTGAAAACTCTTCTTGTTCTCACTTTACACATAAAGAGGCTGAGGCCCACAGAGGGTAAGTGGCTTGCCCAAGTTATAGCTATTCAAGATATCCAGGCTCGTTTTTATTACCCCCTTGCCTATCATAGTCATTGTCGCCCTTTTCTATTTTACTTATTACCTTGTTCTTGAGGACAGTGGAAGTTAAGTAAGAGCTGTACCTTTCTGTGTTGTTGTAACTTCTCTCAGCACACCCAATTCCCCATCTATCACATCTCCAAGCAGCAAACTTTGCTTCTTCCTGTCCTCTCTCTGAATGTTGCTGAAAGAGCTGTTGCCTGTTGTCTTTGCATTTTCCAGCTGCTTCAGCTCATCTGTAGTTTTGACCTTCCTGATGGGTCCTTTCCATCTTTTCTCTCCATCTGTGCTGATAACCTCCTTCTGTCTTTGGTGCTTCTCTTACTTAAACCTGAGCAGTCTCAGTTCCTCATCTTACTTTCTCCTAGACTGTTGATAAACTCAAGTGTCTCCAAACTCTTCCCTCTTTGAGACTTAGGCCCTTGTATCTCAGTGGTTTTTTTTTTTTTTTTTTTGTCTTTGTACCTTTAGCATCTGCCCTTCCTGACATTGTAGGTTCTATGAGGTGCTTCACAATTTTGGGGTCATTTGGTTTGACCTCCATGGTTCCTAAGAGGTGAGCACCCCCTAACCTCATTAAGTCAGGTAGACATTTGGACAAGGCCCACACTCAGCTCACTGGCATCTGGATGCCCAGAAGACCAAGGGGCTTGTGTGGGAGTAGGGGGCTGCCTGGACTCAGTGCGGAGGGGGTGTAACCATAGACAAGCACATGTTTTCATGCAAATAGTGCTTTTTACACATTTGTTTGCTGATTTACTGTTTACAAAGCATTTCAACAAACACAATATCATAAGATGCTCACAATGACCCTGAGAGATAGACTTGATCAGCCTCATTTTAAGGATGAGGAAACTGAGGATTAGGGAGGCAGACTGATGAGACCAAGGTCACACAGCTAGTAGAATGGAGGAGGATTCTATGTCTTATGACCCCTCATTTTCACTGTGCCACACTGCCTGGTGCCAGGCATATTAGAATCTGATCATGGGCTCCTGATATAAATTTTATAAATTTTATAAATTCTAGGCTCCTTGCCTGGACAAGACTGTATGCTTCTTGAGCCAAGAGACCTACTTGTGACCACCTCAGCCAAGCTGGGCCAGGAGGTGCTCAATACGTTGGCAGCACTTGTTTGAAAAGCCTGACATCAGAGGCAGACTACAGTCAGTACCTGACCTCCTCGTACTAGGGCTACAATCACTCCTTGAGTGTGAGCATAACCTATCTGGTCCTGCTGGTGCACATAGTAGATACAGAACTGAATTGCACACTGAACCAGGGTGGGAAGGGGTGGGGCAGAAGTCAGGGGCTAACGAGGGCCCTTGAACAAAGTATTAATTCTACAATAGAAACAAGCACTATGCAAACAATCCTGTGTCCCTCTTTCCCCAAGTTTTTGTCCCAGACAAACCAACACGGCCTTGTTTGCCCACCCACAAAATCCTCTTGCCTCTAGCTTTTACCGTGTGTACTGCAACCAAGACTGTTCTGTGCCATCTCTGGCTCCCCCCACCTCACTCCTCTTTGGCTCCTCTGACCTTCCCTTTTCCCCTCCCACAAACTAAGTCTTCTCTCCATCCCTCTCTATACTCATCCCTCATCCCCACATATTTCCCCTTTTACCTAAATTTATAGTTATCTGGCAGGAAGTAGCCCATCTCGCAATCATGTCGAGCCCGGAAGATCTGTTTCAGCAGGTTCTGCTTGCTGAAGCCATATCCATTCAAAACACAACCCCCAAAAAGGAGCTTCCCTCCAGCAAACATCTGTTGACAGACAGGAAGGAAACAGAGGGAGATGCCCTCAGCACATCAGCATGAAGTAATAAGGTAGGTAAGTTTGAAGCTTAGAGGACAGGGCTGCAGCAGGCCTTGCAGAGCTTGGACCAGAATTTAGGTCTTTGGTGGTCCAGGAAGGGGTGCTGCCCACCTGAGTGGTCCAGTGGGGTGTGGCTGAGCCCAGCCCCTGGCCAGGCTTCCAAGTCAAAGCACAGCCTCACCCTCCCAACCTTAGCCCCCTGATGGGCACTTCACCCACCCTCCTAGCTCACTGGGACCTGAAGGATGTCTCCCTGTTCAGAGACCCCACCCTGCTGCCTATAGCTGTCTAGCACACTCTGCTTCTCACCCCACATATCTCTGTGCACACCCAGCTCTCCCCAGGATAGGGCAGGCATCTCATCCTGCTCCTCTCTGTAACCCCATCTTCCTACATGTCAGTCTCCAAAAGTCAGAGACCTGTCCAAAGATTTATTTATGGACAAGGATACTCATCATGGCACTATTTGTTATAGAAAAAAAAAACAAAAAACCTGGAAATAACCTAAATGTCCAACAAAGGGAATAGAGATATTAATGCAGTCATTAAAACTCAGGTGTTACAAATGATTTAAAGACCTGAAGAAATGTTCATGATATCATTTTACTTAACAAAGCAGGATCCCAAACTATACATGAAGAAAATAACTGCAAGGCCAGACACCAGTATGTGTGCAGTGGCCCTGTGCCTATACTCTCTGTAATATAATGATTATTATTATTTTTTTAATTGTGATTTGAGTGAAAATTTACAGAGCAAATTCACTTTTCATACAGCAGTTCACATACACTTTGTTTCATGACATTGACCACAATTTACCACAATGCAACAGCTCCCCTCCCACTTCCTCCCGATAATTACCTCTTCTCTGTGTCCATCCCTTCATTCATTCCTGCCCCCTGAGCTGTCTCCTGGTGCATAAGCAGCTCTTCTTTCTCACATGATTGTTCTCTCCAAGGAGTGTATCTACCTCACGTAAATGTTTGGCTGGAAGCCATAGGTGTGGGTTCAATTCCAGACCTGAATGGCAGCTCGGGGCCATAGTCTCAGTGGTTCCACCAGGATCTATCAGACCAGCAAACCTGGTCCCCCTCTTTTTTTTCCTCCAAATGATTTTGAGTTTTGTTCCACATTGTTCTCCCTCTCAATCCAAGATCTCCTACATAGATCCACTTGCAAGTGGTTGACACTGTTAGCCAGGCATCATCTAGTTCTTCTGGTCTCATAGCCATATAGGCTGCAGATCAGATGGTGTACCAGTTGCTAGGACTGATTGTTTCCATGAATTTTTGGTTTTCTTCATTCTTCTTTGCTCTGGATGAGGAGAGACCCATTGTTGCATCTAGATGGCAGGTTGCAAGCTTTTAAGATCCCAGTTGCTACACACCAAAGTAGGAGGTAGAACAATGTTTTGTGTAGCATGTTATGCCAATTGAGCTTGATGTCCCCTGCGACTATGGTCCCATGCCCGAAGGTTCCACTACTCGGTCCCTCTAGGTAGCTGGCTGTGATCAACCAGTGACTACAACCTTGCCCCTTGTCAACTCTACTATGCACCTGGGAATTCAGATCATACACATAAACTTATAGGACCATTGTCTGCCAACCCTATACATGTTCTTGGGTACACTCCCCGCTTCATTGACATATCTACTAGTTCAGCCTGTCCACCCATCTGTCCACCCATCTATCCACCTGTATTAATGATTATTTTCTAAATTATATTTTCCAAATTTTCACTAGTGGACATGTTTTTTTTTTTTTTTTAGCAATACAGTTTTTAATGTAACCAAACCAAACCAGTTGTGTTGAGTTAATTCTGACTCATGGCGATCCCACGTGTACAGAGTAGAACTGCTCCATAGAATTTTCAAGGCTGTGACTTTTCTGAAGCAAATTGCCAAGCCTGTCTTCCAAGGAGCCTCTGGGTGGGTTCGAACAGCCAACCTTCAGTTAGTAGTTGAGTGCTTAACTGTTTGTACCACCTAGGGCCTCCTGTTTTTAGTATAAAGGTTATTTATAAATATAATGAAAAGAAATTGATTATCTGAATTAAGCACTGGAATTGACTCAATGGCAGTAGGGTTTTTTGTTTGTTTGGTCCCTTCATTGTCCTGGGATGGGGAACACATTGAGTAGGGCTGAGGGATGGGGAGGGGAGGCTGTGCTCCAGCCCCATCTCCCTGTGCTGGGTGACCCCAAATAAGTCCCTCCTCTCTCTAACATCTGCATGGGTGGGAAGCAGATCCCAAAGCCCACCCTCCCACATTGTCCCTATATTTCTCATTCCTCCCACATCTGTGACTGGGCTCCTGCTTACCAGAACCATGCCCTGTATCACTGCATACTTCTTCACCATCAGGGGCGGGTTGTTCTGCAGAGGGCTGTCTGGGTCGTACCGCAGCAGGCGATAGGGGTCACGCTGGCACTGCCAAGACAGAAATGTCCAGGGTTGCTCACTCCATGCCAAGAAGTTGTTGGTGTTGTTATTTGCCATTGAGTGGATTCCTGAGTCAAGAAGACTCACTTGGATTCTGGGATTGCTGTCCAGGCCTGTGCCTGTCTGAGTCCTGGAGCCCTGTTCAACACTACCTCCCAACTCCTGCCAAGGCTATTCCACTCCCGTATGCACTGTTCCATGGTGAGCTGACTGTCCCCAGAGGCAATGGGTGCACTGAGGGCTCTCCACTGGGGAAGGTCAACAACTCCCCACCATCTTTTGGGGTACACAGAACACACAACAGCTCCCTCTGCCCTGGGATAAACCTTTGGGGGATTTAAAGCTGAAACACATGCTTCTGGTATACCCATTTCCAGGCTGAGACATCTGTTTCTCACAGGACCGGGGATTCTTCCTCCTGCGACCCCAAGCTAGCTACCACTCTAGATACCTGCAGGTCTTTGAATCTAGTACAAGGCTGGAACTGTACCCATTTAGACTGTACCTCAATTTAGACTAAAGTTGGTCTCTTTCACCTCCTCCATTCTGGACACTACAGATCCATTAATGCAGCCAAAGTGATGTTTTTCAGTTTTAATCTGCCTTTTATTTCCAGGTGCCTCCAGCCACCTTGCTGAGTCACACTGACCTTTCAATTAAAAATGGTATGCCCAGATGGCTCCCAGTGCTCAGATTTTCAAGGTAAGAGAATGTCAGGGAGCATTTCTGCCCTTGTGATAGATAGGCCACGAGTCATGGTGAGACCAGCCACCACCTCCAGCCTTTGCACCCCTCACTTCCATTGCCCAGACCTTCATCTGCTCCATTCCCATTCAAGCTGTTCATAGTGGGGCTGGAGCACCCAGAAATTTCTGTTGCTTAGGGACAATTATGAATAAATAGCTAAGAGCCCCAGGGTAAACTAAAGTCAACTCTAAGTCCCATGTGGGGAGGATTAGATCTGTTTCGTACACTGATGGACATAGAGCATGCATGAAACAAATATTCATGGAATTTAATGAAATCAGAAGTTGACTTCAGAAAACAAATGTGGCTTTGATGTATGAGACTAGTGAAAGGGCTTGTGACTGGCTTATTCTGACTTAGAATAAAAGAGTGAGTGGTCCCAAGTCCTCAGTTCCTGGCAATGGCTGGGGTACAAGCTGAGGGAGCAGTAGGGCTCAGGGAGGCTGTGCTCACAGGAGGAGGAGCTGGAGCAATGTCCACCCAGACATCACTCACTAAGATATATGAAAATTCAGCACTCGGTCCTCTGTGGAGAAGACCTTGCAGCAGAAGGGGAAATAAGGTTAACATATTGGAGTCTCCCAGGGCAAGGAGGACTTAAAGATGTCACCACATGGACACAAAGCTTATATGTCCACATGCGTCCTCTGGCTTAGTCTGGGGACATGGCCACTGTTGATTTGTGGTAACATTGTCAATGACTCCAGACTTTGAGGATGAAGACTGGAGACTTAGGGATGACTGTGCTGGGGTACAATGGCAGGTTAGGGCTACGTGTATGCTGTGAAGCCCTTGGGCCCCTTGACTCCCTTGAGACTTCACCATAAGGAGCTAAAGCTCAAGAAGCTCTTTTGCATAGAAGAAGAAAGGGCCCCTGCCTCTGCCAGAAACACTCAGCCAATTGCCAAACCTCATCCTCCTGGGGGACTCACCAGCCCTCTGAGAAGTAGCAAGTACACCTTTCCCAGCTTCTGCAGTGCCTGCATCTACCCTCCGTGCATGGACCTCATCAGGGCTTTTAGACCTTGTCCCCACCTTGCTGGTAGCTCCTGCAGGCACAGTGTGTATTAGTTAGCCATGGGGCCCAGGGCTTACTTGGTCCAGCTCATAGTGGGTACTCGGGACTGTCTGCAATCAGACTGTGCCTGGAAGGTGGTAGGGAACACAGTCTGTGCTGTAAATAGTCACAGAAATAAGTCATCACAACTGTGGTATGTGCTCCAGAGGAAAAGGGCAGTGAGTGCCCTGTGTCTTAGCATCAGAAAAGGCATCCACCTTGATGTGGTGACTCATCCTGGGATGGAAGTGGGAGAGGGAGAGGGAGATGGAGATAGAGAGGAGGGACAGATTGTTCTGACAGGAGCAAGAGTGTGAGCAAAGGCTGAGGAGAAAAGGGGCTGAAAGATGGCTAAATGGGTATCTTCTCCCCAAGATGCCAAACCACTCCTGGGCCCACGAGACCTTTCCCCGGGCTCTCTCCCCAGCCTGAGTCCCACTACAGCCTCCCCGGTGGCCTTCACCAACCTGGATGCAGGGTGAAGCACGGCCTTGCTGCTGGTGACTGTAGAGGGTGTCCAGGAGCCACTGAAGCTGGGCTGTTCTGGCTGGGTTTTGGACTGAGATGATCCCGAACACAAGCACCTGGCTGGGGTCACGGGGTGCTGACAAAAAGCGCTCCAGCTCCACGTCAGACACCAGGGGTGCCTTCACGATGCATTTGCAGCCTGCTCGGATGTCCTCCTTACGGATGAGCTTCCGCAGCATCAGAGGGCAGTTGTAGGGTGAGGCTGCCCAGGAGGTGGGGCTGCGCACCAGCTCCTGGGCCTTGGCCCTGCAAGGAGAGCACAGGGCTAGCACTCAGCAGACAGGCTCTGGCCTACCTTAATCACCCCTGACCAGGATGGAGGAAGGCCCCCTGAGGAATCTGGCTACAAGCAGGCCCTCAGCTGGCTTCCCCACCAATGTGCAGTGCTGCTGGCTAAAGATAGATGCCCTGACTGCTCTGGTCCTCGGTGTCCTCAGGTACAAGGTGGGAATAAGAAACTATTCGTTTATCCATTCATTTATTCAAGCAAAATATCAGAGTCATCCTTCCCTCCTCTTTCTCTTGCACTCACATCCTGTCCAAGCTGTCAGCAAGCCTGTCTGTTCTACCTGCAGGGCAGAGCCAGAATCCTATGACTTGTCCTGCCCTCCACTCTTACCAACAGACTCTAGGTCTCCACCTTGTCTTTCCAGGATGCCTGCTGTTACCTCCTAAGGGGTCATCTGTTTCCTTCCCTGTTCTCACTTTAGTCTAATCTCTACTCAACATTCAGAGGGATTCTGTTAAACCTGAGCCAGGTCACATCACTCCTTTCCTGGAAACTCACTAGTTGTTTTTCCTCTTTTGCAGAATAAAAGCCCAAGTGCCTATAATACCCTTTGAAGATGGTTATGATCTCCTCATACCCCTGACCGCTCTTGTTCGCCTCTGGCCATTCTTACCTTTGTCCAGCATGTTCCTGCCTTGTTGGCCTTTTTGCTTATTGGCCAACCTCAAGGCCCTTGCTTCTGCTGTTTTCTCTGTTTGGTGTGCTCTCCTTCAGACAGCCACACAACTCACTCTCCCTTCTCCTTTGAGCCTTTATTCCGATGACACTTTCTTAGCAAGATCTGCTCTGATCACCACGTTTGGAACTGCATCCTTCTACCTTTCTACACTCTCTCCCTTTCCCTGCTTTCTTTTCTCCAGAGTATTGCTCACTATCACACACCATCCAGTTCTTTATTTTGATGATTGTACTTCTTTCCACTAGAACCTAAGTTCTGTGAATTTGTGGATTTAAAGTATTTTGCTTAATAGAGTGTACTTGTTGTTGTTGTTGTTAGGTGCCATCAAGTAGTCTCTGACTCAGAGCGACCCTCTGCACAGCAGAATGAAACACTGCCTAATCCTTTGCCAGCTTCATGATCCTTGCTATACCTGAGCCCATAGTTGCAGCCACTGTGTCAATCCATCTTGTTGAGGGCCTTCCCCTTCTTCGTGGACCCTCCATTTTACCAAGCATGATATCCTTCTCCAGGGAATGGTTCCTTCTGAGGACATGACCAAAGTAGGTGAGACAAATTCTGACCACTGTTGCTCCAAGGAACATTCTGGCTGCATTTCCCCCAGGACAGATTTGTTAGTCCTTTTAGTAGACTGTGATACTCTTAGCATTCTTCAACACCACAACCCCAAAGCAAATCTTCTTCGGTCTTCCTTATTCATTGTCCAGTTCTCACATGCATAAGAGGTGATTGAAAATACCATGGCTTGGGTTAGGCACACCTTAGTCTTCAAGGAGACATCTTTGCTCTTCTTCACCTGAAAGAAATCTTTTGCAGCAGATTTATCCAATGCAATGTGTCATCTGATGTCTTAACTGCTGCTTCCTTTGGTGTTGATTGTAGAACCAAGTAATATGAAATCCTCGACAACTTCAATCTTTTCTCCATCCACCATGAAGCCATTTATTGGATCAGTTGTGAGAATTTTAGTTTTCTTTATATTGAGGTGTAATCCATACTGCAGACTGTGTTCTTCAATCTTCATCAGTAAGTGCTTCAAGTCATCCTCATTTTCAACAAGCAAAGTTGTGTCATCTGAGTATTGCAGATTGTTAATTAATCTTCATCCAGTCCTGATGCCACATTCTTCTTCATATAATCCAGCTTCTCAGATTATTTGCTCAGCATATAGATTGAATAAGAACGGTAAAAGGATACAACCTTGACACACTACCTTCTTGATTTTGAACCATGCAGTCTCCCCTTGATCTGTTCGAATGACAGCCTCCTGATCTAGGTACAGGTTTCTCATGAGTACAATCTAGTGTTCTGGAATTCCCATTCTTCTCAATGTTATCCATAATTTGTTATGATCCACACAATCAAATGCTTTTGGATAGTCAATAAAACATAAGTAAACACCTTTCTGGTATTCTTTGCTTTCAGGTAAGATCCATCTGACATCAGCAATGATATCCCTCATTCCATGTCCTCTTCTGAATCCAGCTTGCAGTTCTAGAAGTTCTCTGTCAATATACTGCTGCAACCATTTTTGAATTCTTTTCACTAAGATTTTACTTGCATGTGATATCAATGATAATTGTTTGATAATTTCCACATTTTGTGGAATCAACTGTCTTTGGAATGGGTACAAATATGGATCTCTTCCAGTCAGTTGACTCGGTAGCTGTTTTCTAAATCTCTTGGCATAACCGAGTGAGTGCTTCCAGCGGGGCATCCGTTTGTTGAAATATCTCAGTGGGTATTCTGTCAATTCCTGGACCATTGTTCTTTGCCAATTCCTTCAGTGAAGCTTCAACTTCTTACTTCAATACCATTGGTTCTTGATCATATGCCATCTCCTGAAATGGATGAACATCAACCAATTCTTTTTGGTGCAGTGACTCTGTGTATTCCTTCCATCTTCTTTTGATGCTTCCTGTCATCATTCAAAATTTTTCCCATAGAATCTTTCAGTATTGCAATTTAATTTTCCATTGCTTAATGTTTTTCCTCAATTCTTTCAGCTTGAGAGATGCTAAGCATGTTCTTCCCTTTGGTTTTCTAACTCCAAGACTTTGCACATTTCATTATAGTAATTGGCTCTGTCTGCTCCAGCTGCTCTTTGAAATCTTCTGTTCAGCTCTTTTCTCTTGTCATTTCTTCCATTTGCTTTAGCTACTCTCCGCTCAAGGGCAAGTTTCAGAGTCTCTTCTGTCATCCATTTTGGCCTTTCCTTCCTTTCTTGTCTTCAATGACTTCTTGCTTTCTTCATGGATGATGTTCTTGATGTCATCCCACAATTTCTCTGGTTTTTGGTCACTGGTATTAAATGCATCAAATCTGTTCTTTAAATGGTCTCTAAATTCAGGAGGGATATTATTAAGGTCATATTTTCACTTTCATGGACTTGTTTTAATTGTCTTCAACTTCAAGTTGGACTTGCATATGAGCAGTTGATGGTCTGTTCCATAATCAGCTCCTGGCCTTGTTTTGGCTGATGATACTGAATTTCTCCACCACTTCTTGCCACAGATGTAGTTGATCTGATTCCTGTGTATTCTATCTGGTGAAGTCCACATGTATAGTCATTGCTTATGTTGTTGAGAAAAGGCATTTCTTTTGGTCTTGCAAAATTCTATCATGTGATCTCCAGTGTTATTTCTATCACTAAGGTCATATTTTCCAACTACTGGTAACTCTTCTTTGTTTCCACCTTTTGCATTCCAGTCACCAGTGATAATCAACACATCTTGATTGCATGTTCAGTCAATTTCAGACTGCAGAAGTTGGTAAAAATCTTCAATTTCCTCATCTTTGGCTTTGGTGGTTGGTATGTAAATTTGAATAATAGTAGTATTTACTGGTCTTCCTTGTAGGCATATGGATATTATCCTATCACTGACAGCACTGTACTTCAGGACAGATCTTGAAAAAGTCTTTGTGATAATGAATGCCACACCATTCCTCTTTAATTTGTCATTCCTGGCATAGTAGATCACATGGTTGTCTGATTCAAAGTGGCCACACCAGTCCATTTCAGCTCACTAATGCCTAGGATATTGATCTTTATGCATTCCATTTCATTTTTTGACAACTTCCAATTTTCCCAGATTCATACTACATACATTCCATGTTCCAGTTATAAACAGATATTTGCATCTGTTTCTAGTCATTTTGAGTTGTGCCACATCAGCCAATGGAGATCCCAAAAGCTTTACTCTGCCCAAGTCATTAAGGTCATTTCTACTCTGAGGAGCCCGCTCTTCCCCAGTCATATTTTGAATGCCTTCTGATCTGATGGGCTTATCTTTCAGCACTATATTGGACAATGTTTCAGGGCTCTTAATAAAGTTTTCCAGTAATATATCAGAAAGTATTTCACTGCTATTCATAAGGTTTTCACTGCCCAATTGTTTGAGAAGTGGATGGCCTCTTCCTTCTTCCAAGTCTTCTTAGCCTGGAAGCTCCGCTGAAACCTGCCCACCATTGGTGGTAACCTTGCTGGCATTTTGCAACAAATTGCAAAAAGGCTATGCCTTTTGGTGGCATAGCCACCAAAGGATGACAAACTGACAGACAAGGTCATCTCCTTTAGCTGTTCTTAACCTCTCTGCACCTGCTAACCTTGGCAACAACCTTAAAATAGAGCCATCCCCAAGCAAAAAGCAGCCTCCAAGCCCTGGGCCTGCCTACCTCAGGCCCCAGCCTTAAAATAGAGCCTCCCCAAAGTGAAAAGCAGCTTAGTACTTAGAGCTTAATAAATAGTAACTCACTGCCGTTGAGTCGGATCTGACTCATAGCAACCCCTCCTTGGGTTTCCGAGGTGGTATCACTATGGAAGTAGATTGCCCAACTTTCCTTCCGAGGAGTGGCTGGTGGGTTTGCACCTTTGCCAGCCTTCCAGTTAGCAGTCAAATGCCTTAGGCACTACATCACCAGAGCTCCCTAGTAAATAGTAGCACTAGGCAAATAGTAGAGAGTCAAACAAATATTTATTGGACACCTATTATATAGCAGACACTATTCTGAATTCTTGGGAGGGTTATGAGGGTTGTTGTATGTAGATGGTGATAAAAACCAAAACCAAACTCATTGCAGTCCAGTCGGATCTGACTCACAGCAACCCCTCCTTTGGTTTCTGAGGCAGTATCGATACGGAAGTTGATTGCCCAGTCTTCCTTCCAAGATGGTGATAAGCACCATTTAAATATAAAGTGCAGCCATGATTTTGGTAGCATAGTGCCTAAGGCACTTGACTGCTAACCAGAAGGCTGGTGGTTCAAACCCACCAGCCAC